TTGAACCAGTCTGAGTATGCATTCAGAGTTTGGACTTGTTACTCTGGGGAGAGGAATGTAGACTGGGACAGGGTTATGATGCTTAATTGAGGTTTTTATTGATATTTTAATTCTTTTATTTCTCCTGAGAGTCTCTTTGGCACATGTCCAAGTTTATCATTCTCTACTGTTCATTTGTTTTTATATTAAGAAAATAAAATATTGTGCACTAACTAAACTGAAATATAATGTAGCTGTAGCAAAGAGGCAAGCTAAGCAGCATATAAAGAATGGCTCTCAGAGGGGATATTAAGGGCAGAGTAGAGATTGGTTTATATTTCTTCAGAAACTGGCTCTGTACTGCTCCATTTTGAGTTTTATGTTTTCTCTTGGGAAGTCATAACACTTGCAGTTAAGTACATATGTGCTCTATAAAATAATCTTCAAACTAGATGTCAATCAGTCAATTCATGTTAGAAAAAAAAAAGAAGGAAAAATATACAAAATTGCTTTTATTTTACAATATTCGTGACTTGGAAAATTTAGATAAAAATGTTTTGAAGTTCTTTCATACTACTCAAATAAAACAACTGCAAAAACATTTTGGTAGGGTTTTCTCACAGTTCAGAACCTAAGCATGCATATTTTATTATAAAATTCATTTGGCATTTTTTTAAAATTATCTATAGAGACTGAGAAATTCTTGTGATTGTTCATTCACTTCCTAGTTCTTGGGGGAGGAAGAAAAGTGATCAGCAAGAAAACAAAATATTGAAGAAAACCAGTACAACAAACCAAAACTCTGGTATGAACACTTCTATTTATGCTTCCACTTTAAATTACAGACCCTACAAACTAATTCCTTTTGTTCAGGTATTAACTGAAGTTAAAGCTAATTTAAAAAAAATAAGGTCTTATATGTTCATTTGAAGAGAAGTTATTCCTTTCTATATCCCATATTAAGAAATAAATTTGTAGATTATTTAGACCACATTGCAAGTATTCTTTTATCTGATATGTCCAATATGGTGTTTGCATTGTGGATTTATACCTTACACTAATCTTTATCCAGTGTCTCTCATCTCAGAATATTTTGATTTCTATCATTTTATATAGGTATTGTAGTACTGACATTTATTAAAGGAATTTAAAACAATAAAGTTTTATTTTTTATGTTTTCCTGAGAAACAGAGGATAAAATTTTAAAATATATAATTATTTTTTTTCTATTTTAACCAAAAAAAAAAAAATCAAAAAAAATTTACTAATAAGTTCAGATTTCACACATAAGTAACAAAAAATTTTAAATTATCTTTAATGATTAAAAGCCAAAAAAAATGTACTTTGAAATGTATTTTAAAGTATTTTTATAAGTTTTAGTAATCCATTTCTCAGCTCCTTGAATATAAACGAAAGACTGTTTTGACCACTCATTGACCACCGATTATCCTTCAAGAGAAATCTACATAGGAGGCACCAAGGAAATGTAGGTTTAGGTTTAGATTGCTACCTGAATCTGCAAACCTTCACTTCCTCACTAGGAGACTAAAGAAAATATTTTTTTTTAATTTTGGAAATGGGGCAGTAAAATCTTAACTACAAGTATGGAGCGGTTCATAAGAGCAAATCTGATTAAAAAATGACATTGAGATCAGGAACATAAAATCATATTGCCAATAATAGCACCATAAATGAGATGGGCTAGTCAGCAGGTGATGGATGCAAACAGAATAAATTTATCACACAGAAAAATGTGCCATCATCACACTTATTATGTTATGTTCTTGTTAAACTAAAATTAGCATGAACATTAAAAAAAGAAAAGAAATTCCTTGGCTATTCTTTACCAAGTAACTCTTTAAGGTGTGGTGACCCTTTCTATAGAAAGTACTTCTGAAATGCAGTTGCTTTTATGCAAATTTAGAAATATATCATTAGATATATCTAATATATGTTTTTCTAATATATTTTTCTTCCTAAGATACCTTGAGAAAGTTTTCATTTAGGAAAGAAGATATGATGTAATAGCTAATCCAGAAGATGTAAGTAAACATGTTTTTTTATTGTTATGATAATTATAAAAGAGGAAATATTTTTATATGACTAGCTTGTTTCAGAGGGACTAACCTTAAGTATAAAATATAGTTGGATTAAATAATTGTGCACAGAATATTTTCTCAGGATTCACTCCTAAAGAGCCAAAGCTATTCCTTTAGAAATAAAAAGCTGTATGTTTTATTTCTTTTGCACCATGGACAAAACACCTTATTGTTTATATGCAAGTACTAAGATATTGATTTACTGGTAGTGCCATTGGTGCAACAACCACTTCTCATTACCAAGTTTTTATATAGTAAAATCTGTATATTTGTGAGAAATATATTGAATTAAGATCATTGATAAAATGATGACAAGTGTTTACCTTTTTATTATTTTCACTTGTTTTTCAGCTGCCTATCTCCCCAGCCTATGCCAACAAAGTTGACAAATTAAGTCAATGACAAACTCAATGACAATTCTCATTGCCCATCTTCTTCCTGGCAGAACTGGTGTTTAATCCATTGACTTACTGACAGCTTTTAGAGAAAAATGTAGAACCTTATTTCTAATAATAGGATTTTTACTCCCGTTCAAAAATTCTGTTGAAGTTATTATTTCAAACTTTTTTTTATATGTGGGCTTTACACACCTTTTTAAACAATCCCTAAAAAGGAAAAATCTAATTTTTTTTCACACACTTTTGTGTCAAGAAAAAGAAGAAAGGAGTTTTCCTGAAGAATGTTGATTTTGTTTTCGTTCTTCATTATCTTTAATGATGAAGAATTGCTGAGTGACGGAATAGGAATGAGGATCAGATCTGGGCAAAAGACCATCCTCAGGAGATGTTTCTTCAGAGAAGTTCCAAATTCAGTTACAGTAAGAAGGATGAGGGGCTCATTAGCATGCAGTTATATTAGAATTTATTCAGACATGAATCAGAACTGTGTTCAGCGAAATATAAATAATGTAAAAAAACATCCACACCTTTTACTTAAAAATTACCCATGTTTTGTCCTGTGGATCTCATGTAAGGCAAGACAAAGAGAAGAAACTGAGAGACAAAGATGATGGATAGAGGACTCTAATTATAATAAAATTTTCACTAAACAGGGACATAACTACTTTGTAATTTATTTCATTATAATCAACTGGCAGTTGGTATTGAAGGAGTTCACTAGAAAGAATTTATGAAAGGACAAAACTAGGGGATTTACTGATGTAAATAAAAGCAAAAATGTCAACAACATAGAGCAAGTTCAATCCCTCTCATGGATACCATGTTATGATTGCATTATTGGACTTAAGTGCTCAATCTCTCTTTAAGAGAAATCGCTTTAACTGACTTTGTATTGACTAAAACTATACAAAAAACTAATTCTTTGGTGCCTTTGCTTGTATATTTTTTTTTTTGCTTATATTTTCAAAACTTTCTAGATGTTGCTGCTGAGAGTTGTCAGAATGCAAAAGAAAAGTAATGAAAAGGCTTGAAAAGTTTCTGCTAAAGATGCTCACTGTGCTAATAGTATACAATCCCCAGTGATCCTGTCCTCTATCAGAAATTATATCAAGAGTCACTTTGTGAGAAAATATCATGAAAGACATTTTTTTCCATTGAGATTCTCACTGTATTAGCTGACTGGAGAAGTAGCAGCAGTAGGTAGGAGTTTATAGCAGGAGTTAAAGAGCAACAGTTGCTTTAAAAGCTGCTGCTTTGATCCATGAAAAATGGATCCGTTGTTACACTGAGAAGTACCCTTACTTTTTCTTGTATGCTTATGTATCCAGAAGAGTAACATGCTCATACACCTATAAGGATTGCCTACACCACCTCAAATTGTGAGTCTTTAAACTGAAGAACAAATCTGTTGCAGATGAACTAAACCTCAGACTGTTATAATTTCTCTACAGATGGATAATAGGTTTTAATAGAAAGTGGAAATACATATTAAAAAACCCAAAACTGTAAAGCCCTAGATAATAAGAAAATGGGAAATGTTAGCCCTCAGTTATTCTCCTGTAAAAGTTAACATTAGCATTCAGAAATTTCTCTGTGAAACCCTACCGTCTCTTTAGAATGGTTTCATTGCTTGAAGGCCCCTCTGAAATAATTTGAACAATTAGAAATTCAAACTGAGTTGAGCAACATGTCCAAAACAAGATTTTGGTTTTTAGTTAGGCAAGAAGGTGCTGCTTGTGAAGATTTGACCATGGACGTGAATTGCTATTTGTGCTGACTGTGTAAGCCACAGTATAACAAAGAAACAGAAACATAGGGCAATGTGGGCAACAGAGTACTAAAATCAGAGCTAAAAAATCAAAATTCTTTTAGGGAAACTAATCATAGCTTATAACTCCTGTCATATGATTTTATTTTTCACATATTGAATATTTTAATAAAAGAGTTAAAAAAGAATATTTTAGTATTTCGCATCCTTTCAAACCCATCTCCCTAATTTTATCCTGGACTCATATACAGAACACAAACACACAAAGCATCAGTTTTTAATAAGAATAAACAGAATAATAGATAAGCAGTCACATAAAACTGTGGTGTTAGTCTGTCTCAGGATATGTTGACATAAATCATTAGCAGTTTGTTTTTTAAGTTTGGCTTATTTGTTTATTTCTTTAATATTTTAGATTCCTAAAATATACATATAACCTTCAAATAACTACAAAAAATAAAGAATGGTTTTACTTTATTTTTTATCCTTGGTGATTTTCAGCCTTTTTACTTTGTCATAACACTGTTTTCCATCTTCCTCTTGAGAACATCTTTTTGTTAGCAATTGGTTATGTCCTAAGGGGACAAGCACTTCTGCAGATAGCAGTGGACACTGACATTTTGCATCTTCTCACTCCAAGGGAACTGACTTCTCCTTTGTTTCCTTACTTATGCATTCCATCATCAACTTAATAAAAAATTTGGAAAGGAGTGTTGTAACTACCTGTTCTAATCTTCCAATTTCTCCCTCTTTTAGTGGCTGGGGATCCAAGACTCCAAGGATCAACTCAGATAAGACACAGCATTGATTCACACAGGAAGAACTGTGAGAAAGTTTGCAGAGATATAAGAAAGGTAAGAGTTAGGATTGTTGAAATGGCATTATTTTGTGCAGAAGGATTCAGGAAATAGAAGGTTATAAAACGTTAAAGAAAGGAAGGGTAGTTGAGCAAGTGCAGAAACGATGACTGGGGTCAAGTTATCAGTGTTAACAGAGAGAGTGGATAATGCCAGCTGAGCAATATTGAAATTTTGGTCTGGTGTTTGCAAAGGCTGACGCTTCTTCTCTCAAATGATGCCAGTCAGGGCAGCAAAAACTGCTTGGATAGCAGGGTGAAAAATCCATTAATCCTAAATCCAACAGTTTCCTAAAGGTTGGAGTAATTCTCAAAAGAGGAATGAACACTTGTGGTTTTATGATCTTTAAGTGCTTTTCCTCCCAAGATTTCAAAAGATAAGTGCAAAAAATTGCAACAGCTTCCAGTGAATACAACAGATTATGCATAGTTATCCAACTGCAAAAATTGTGCCACTGAAATAGAGCTAAAAGGTTCTAAAAAATATAGAAAAATTACTAGAAATTAAGAAAACAGAAGAATCTCCAATTATTTTGCTTAGGAGGTTGCTGGTTCTTCTAGTCTGTCCTAGGGCATTTTTTTTGGTTCATTTGTTTTGCTGATCCACCACAGTCTTTCATTTAACTAGATAGCCTTCCTCCTGTAATCACTAGGTTTTTCTGTCACGTGTCTTTTTATATTAATTACTAGGCATAGAGGTAGCTGTACAGGGTTTCAGAAGGGGTCTAAAAATCCTAAATATTCCTTTATAGGATCAGGCTAGACCTGGAGGCATATGTAGAAACTATTAGGGGTTCAATTTTCAAAACCTAAAAGTCTTCAGCTGTTCCTATGGTAACGAATTAGATCACTGGATTGAGAGGTACAGCTTGTTCTGAAAAGGGAAAGTTTTAAAACCTGTTGAAATACTGAAATAGACTGCCATCACAAACAGTAGGCAAGTACTCTTTGTTGCTTTCCTCTGCTTCTCCTATTGAGTTAGTTTTTTCTCTCTTTACAATTGTTATGGCTTTCTGTGGTTTGATCAAGTAGCCATGCTTTAGAACTGGACTAGTCAGCCTTTGATCTGCATATATAGAATTCCACAGATCAATTATATGAATTTCCTTAGGTGAGTCTTTGAACAATTCTAAGTCTGAAGGAAACAGTCTTGATAACACCTTTGCATATAGACTAAATATGTACTAAATTTAGTCTTATCATTCAGTTATACTATTGCAGCTTTTTTGTCCTCCATTGATTAACAAACTACTGCAATATATTTCTCCACCTCAAATCTATTCAAATCCATAAACAAAAGAGGGTTATTTTTGAAAAAAAATATTTAAAACTGTAAAAGTATCTTTTAATACATAATTTATGATTAACAAAAATTATTAATAATTAAAATATAATATGATATTTTTGAAAGATCAGAAGATTAATTTGTATTTTAAATACAGAAGTCTCCTTCTCTCTGTCTGCAATCAAATAGGCTTGTTCACCACAAGTGTATGTGAAAGAGGCAACAGTATCACCTGTATGGTACAACCTTAAATGGATCATATTTATCAAGTAAACAGAACTGTTAAATCACACAGTACAACAGCAAAGCACAAGAATAACTAAGTAATACTGAACAGCATTTTTTAACTTCTTGCATATGACCTTACATTTCTCTGTTCTGGTAATATACTGGAAGATGGGTGTTCTGTCTGAGAAAGGCCACATAATTGCTCCCTCAACTTTCTTTCATGTTGAGTGACCTCACAAGATGTACCTATGGCTAATAATTTTTTGTGAAATCCAAAAATGGATTTGGAAAAACACACAAGGTCGCCCTGGATGCTTCTCCTGAGATATCTGATGAACTCAGGTGGCTAGCAGGTAGATACAGTAAGCCCCTTCAGGGAAAATCAGTTGTCAGTGATGGAATGCATCTGTGCTAGAAAGATATCCAAATTGGTTAAGAATTAAGAAGAAATTAAGAGTAAACAAAATTAGATTTTATGAATATATTCCATGTGATCACTTATATCACTTCATTGGTCTTATTGCTCTCTCTGTACCATGGTTTTGATAATGTGAAATGAGCAGAGCTACAGAAGTGTGAAACTGGGTTGAGATAACAGAATCACTTGCTCAGAGTCCTTGTGTTTTTCTGATTCTTAAAGGACAGGGCAGAAAAAAAATGGGTAGTTGTACTATATGGGAAAATGTCCTGCTGTTTCTAAGCAGTGTCCTTGCAGACAGCTTCAGCCCTTCTGTAAGAAATTCTATTTAATGATTTTATACATTTTTTTAAAAATTCATAGAGTTTTTAAAATCCCTAAGCATTGTATATATGCTAACTCAATCTAGGAAAAGAAAACAAATCAGAAATTAGAAAGCAGATTTTTTCCATCTATAACCAATTTGACAACTGATAAAAGCATATGAATATACAAAAAAGAAACACTCAGGAATATGCAGATTTTCTACTGGTACATTTTTCTATTCCTCACATGGCAGAAAAGGAAAGGGGAAGGCAGTCTCCTTCTATTGTAGAATCTCTTTAGTGCAAAAGATAATCTACTGGGTACTGGAGTTCTCATAATATAAGCAACCCTTTTGTGACTTTCTTTTGCTGTAGATTTGTAATGGTCCAAGGCATTTTAATAATTAGTCTACAGGGAGCCTTAATAGACTAGGGCAACTCTTAATTAATTTAATCCCCAGTACATGAATTGACCAAGAGACATCAAACCACATTTTAGCTTGGAGGGTATGTGAACTCAGAGGAAATCTCATTTTTAGCTACTGTGGTGCTGCATTTTTTCCTTCTAGCATAATGTGGTTGTAGATAAACACTTTGTGCCATTCTGTCCTGTTGTAACCAGAAGCTTTTATTTTCAGTAGAATTAATAATAAATGAAGATGTCAATTTCAGCATATTTTTAAGGTGCAAAAATTATCGTAGGATATTGTTCATATGTGGTTAAAACAATAAGAAGTGATTTTACTTAATTTTTGCTATTTCTCTATTGTGTATTTCTGATGCTTAAAAAACCCTGGACCTGTTTAAAATACATGAAAATATACTGATAATATTTTTAACTGCAGTAGGTTTTAATTAGAAATATTCCGTAATCCTTTGATTTACTGAGGAGTACTGAGGATACTATTCTAGTATATGATTATACTTCAACCATGCTTTATAAGTATTCAGTTTGTACTTTGTATTCTATTCTTGCTTCTTATCAAGATTTGTGGTAAGTCTTAATAGCAGAAGAAAAAAATTAACTTCCTGAGGCAGCCTTTCTCTTTTCATTTCTATGTTAATATTCACATATGCAGTAATACTTTTAATGAAGTGAGTGTTGCTTTAGGAATATAATCCTGAGGTATCTAAAGCTGTGTAAAACTAATGATTATCACTGAATTGCATGTAGTGACACTGTGGGCAGCCTAACAGTGATGAAAGAGAAAATGTCAGTATAATCACATAGAACCCATGTGAATGACAAAGCTATTCTATAAGGTACATATGCTTCTGAATAAACATTGTTAGCAACAGAATCTATTAAACACACCTGCTTTTATTCTTTAAAGTGAGTCGTTTTGGTGTTGGTTTGTTGAATCAGCATTTGCAGCTGATTTCCAACTAAATGTATGAAAGGTACATTTAAATTAAGTGATTTAAGAGAAAAATCACTGAGCAAAGAATTTGAATCTAAGCTGTGACATGAAGATGCTGTTTAGCTCTTTGGGGATGCAATTTGTCGGTCCCAGTTACTGAATGTTTTGGGGAACACACTTTCCTTAATATGAATTCCATTAGAACTTTAACCAACATCTTTAATGTTACAAATAAGTACAAAAGTAATTGTAATCACGTTAACCAAACCTTCAGCTGGACACTTACAGATCTCACTGTCAAGGAAAGGATACTAATTTAACAGTTTCACAGGATCTAAATCAGTAAGAGAACTGAGAACATAAATGCTTTTGTGATATATAAAATTATAAAGTATTAGGACATTTCCTGAAAAGGGATTTTTTTAGCATTATGGAAAGAATTAGCTATATCTATGTGTATTGCACGGTGGAACATTATAAGAACTCAAAAATTGTATCATTAGTAAAAATGCACACACATTTGTTCCTGCTTTTAAAGTAAAATTTAATTCACCTCACTAAAACACTTCCCTTCTATTTCAATAATGTTGCATGTATACAAAAGCACTGCATTTTATAGTAATTTCAATTTCTGATATTATTAATCCCTTTATACAAAGGAAAATTCAATATCTTAAAAAATCTAGATGTAGTCATTTAATTTCCATAACTATAAATCTTTAATAACAAATGAGTTTTAATTAGTTTCTGTCCTTGGCCATGTACAAGAGGAAGGAATCATCTTTCAATTAATCTATTGTTAGGATATACAGAATTAAAAAGTCTCATATGCTTAGGATGTTCAGATTATCTTTCAAACCTAATAGACATTGACTCATAAATTTCTAATATTTTTCAAGTGTTTCCCTTTGTTGCTGTTTTACAAGAGAGGCCATTTTTTTTAACTTGATGGGCTGATGGGATAACACTAGAAAATAATTCCAGTAGAAAATATTCTGAGTAGATATACTCAGCTATAAACTGAATCGCAATCTCCAAACAAATATCCCCAAACTTAGATTGCTTGAAACTTTTCAAATTTCCAATTTGCTTTTATTTGGAGTATAAAATTAATGGATGTTGGGTTGATATATGGTCCAACTGAATTCAGGAATTAAGGAACAGGTTTGATAAATCCCCATTGTTATTTCGTTTTATATTTTGCCATTCTAAGTTTGTCTGTAGCTTCATGGAGTAATGTGGGTTGCAAGATACCTCAGGAAGTCCTCCAGTCCAGCCTTAGGCCCAACAGAGGGTCGGACCAGGTCTGTCAGGTCATTGTGCAGTCACTCTTGCACACTTCCATGCATGGAGACTGCACAACCTCCCCGGCAGTCCCCAGCAGTCTGTCTCATTGTCCCA